CTGTTACTGTATTTGACCAATGGCAGAATAATAGATCTACTAGCCAGAGGTGTTGGCCTGTTTCATGGCTCCCTTCTAAAGTATCTTGAAGTGGTTACTGATACACACACATAGCAAACACACAACTTTGCATACATAGACACAAGAGAACTGTGCAAAATCACAGATCAAAACTCTTACTACAGGTTAAGGTCTACTATGTGAGCCATTGAAAACAATGTTCTGATGACTATCGTTACCAACTATGTATTATGTTTGAAACTTGCTAAGAAAATAGATCATGGATATTTTTACCACACATAAAAAGTTTACTGTGAAGTGATAGATATGTTAAATAGCTTGATCATGGTACAGTAATTATTTCACAATATATACATATATCAAAACATCACATAGTACAACTTAAATATATACAATTTTAATCGGTACTGTGCCTCAATAAAGCTGCAAAAAGGTAGAAATATCCATTTACCTATAAAAGCCTCAAGTTTATCTTTCTTTATAGCTGAGTAATATTCCATTATATAAAAATGCTACAACTTTTTTATCCAGTCCTCAGTTGATGGGCATTTGGGTTGCTTCCACAATTTAGCTACTACAAATTGCGCTGCTATAAACATGGGTGCACATACATCACTGTGATATGATGTTTTCAGTCCTTCTGGGAAAATACCCAGAAGTGAAATAGCTGGGTTGAACGGGACCTCTAGTCCTAGTTTACTGAAGAATCTCCAAACTGATTTCCACAACTAGAGACCATACTCATGAGTAAAATAAATCAGACTCACATATGTAAACACCATATTGTCTCTCTAGTGTAAGAACCTGAAAAATGAATAAAAAGGAAGTACAATAGATAATGGGAAATAAAAGGAAACTGCTCAAAAGTAAAGAACAACTGGGATTAGAGAAAAGAGAAAAGAAAGGGAAAATTATGCATATATGTATACACAGGATAGCCAACATAGTTGTATTACGGACTTCTAATGCTTTATTGAAAGGAACAGTTAATGCTTAATTGTTAGATCAATCTTACATGCCTATATTTGTTTATGTGTAACCAATTTGAAGATATCAATATGTAATACAGCAACCATTGTTAATTTTCTATCACCTTGTCTGAAATTCTGTATTGGTTGTATCTTTTTGTGTGTTATTTTGTAAATGTATGTGTGTTTCTTAATATGTTTTTGTTCTTTTATCTTTAAAATAAAAAGTAGAAATATCATCAAAGTATTGAAACAAAAGAGGCATAACCCACAAGTTACAATGACTTGATAATTATTTTAGAAACATCAGAATTAGAAAATGAAAAGGTACAACCACAAAAGTAAATGATGATGCTATAAGGCAAAGTGAAAAAAACCGATTAATGGAAAAAAAGCTATTGGGGGAAAGTTAGTGAATATTTGTACTTAAATTTCCTTTTTAAGTCAATGCTGTTTTAAACCAGGGTCCTGGTAAAGGTACCCGAAAGAACAAAGCAGATGTAACAGATACTTGGACCTGCAGTCAGTCTGTTTTACAAATGGAAGAATCTCAGGTGAAATTCAAAGATGACAGTAGAATTTCAGACAAGGGTGCTGGAGAAAACTGATGTTGTTAAAAGTAAGAAGGAAGGCATTGAAGAAAGAAAGGTTGAAGTTAAGATAAGAGATAAAAATATATTAATTGACTTTTCGGTCATTTTCTTTAAATAATACTCAGGTAATGTCTAAGTCTACACATTGAGGATTAGGTAAATATTTTATGGTTGGGTGAATGTGAATTTTAATTTTTTTGTTTTGTTTTATTGCCTAAAAGAGAAAAAAAAACATAAGTAGTCAGTTAATATAGACATGGATTGATGTCTGTAAGCAAACCTACAAGCACTAGTCTCACCTCTGCTAACACGCTGCTGTGGGAGGAAAATGAGCAATATTTTTATTAATATAATATTCTTCTTAAGGGTCTCTTTTTTATGTTTACATTTCCTCCTATGGCAAGATTATCTCAGATCCATTTATGAAAACAACTTCCACAGGTTTTGTGGTATCGATCCCGTTTCATTTGTTTAGAAGCCGATACAAAAACAACACAGTTCAGATATTTTTTAAAGTTTCACATTTTTCTTTCAAAATTTGAGCCGGAATATTGGGACTAGCACTCTGTAACTGATATTTCACATCTTTGCTGTGTGTCCGGCAACTCTACCGCTTCCACCATGGAACCATCAGCCACTGAATGGGCTTAGCAGTATAACTGGGGAAGCAACATTCCTGGGATGACCCATGCTGCCTTTCTATGTTCATTTTTCTTCTTTGCCTCCAAGTTCACAAGAATTCTCTCTAAACTCAGACTTGAATGAGCTGTGGGAAAAATCCTGACCATTAAAATCAGATATGTTTAGACACTTCATTTCTGCTTTTAATTTTGTATTCTCATCCAGGTCACTTCTGTTCTTCAAGTCTTTACAAGTATAAAATGGAAGTAGTCCCTCTTCCTTTCAAAGTAATAATAAGTGTATTATATTGATGGGCAATGTAATACTAGCTGTTTAAACTATGATTCCAAGAAATGCATACTATCATCTTCTGCTTCTTTATAGCTAGATACCTCTGGGAAAATTATCTCCTCTTTAGTTTTCTCCATAAAATTATAAAAAGTATCCATCTCACTCAACATTTCACATCAACATTTATCTATGATGGAGCAGACACTATTCTAGACTCCTAACATGTTACATGATTATGTGAGACAGCACAGCTGAGTGGTCGATTGTGTTATTGTGCTTGTTTACCAGCTTCTTCTCTTGTAAAGAATTTATATATTTCCTGCCTTTGCTAATCTCCTTGCAGGTGGAGAAAACTTCCCTGCTCTTTGCTAGCTGGTTTGACCACATTGCTTGCCCTGGGCAATAGTGACAAGTAGAGATGATTTACAGTGCACCATGTCAAAATAGAAAAGTAACTGTGCCTCCTTTTTATCCATCCTAATTTGACAGCAGAACATCTCAGAAAGACCGATGGTACTCCAGCTGCGGTCCCAGAGAGACAGGACATATGCAACAGAGATATACAATTGGACCTGCATAGAATTACATAGATCTATGAATAGGAACTATATATAGAATATGCATCATTTTATTATTGTTCCAAGCCACCCCACACCCTTATTATCAAGAAATAAATGTGGTTGTAAGCTACCAAGATTTGTCTTTCAGTAAATATAGTAGCATTTACATAGAAGTATTTAACATTTTAGCAATAGCAATAAGCTAAAATTATAATGAAGGTGTATAAAGCACTTAAAATGATGAGCATCTGCTTGCCTGTCCATCAAACTAGTATTTTCCACCACTAGAAAGGTGGTATGAAGAAAAATAACATAGGAAACAGAGAAAAAAAATGCTGGACAAGGAGGTGTTGAGTGAAGGCGTCAGTATAGTGTTTAGAGAAGGCTTCACTGAAAAAGAAACTACTGAGTAGAGGTCAGAAGGAAATGGAGGGAATTAAGCAGGTAACGAGAGGAAGCACTTCCCGGGAAGAGAAAAACAGATGGAAAGCTCAGCTCCTAAATTAGCAAGAATGCTGAACGATTGGGTGTGAAGATGGGAAGAAGTGAACTAGAGTCACTTTGGTGAAGTTACAGTCACAAGGTATGAGGGAGCCTGTCCTTTATTCCTCTAACATCTTAATTTGAAAAGGACCCTTCGGGCTTCTACTTTGAGAAGAGGATACAGGTTTCCAGGATAGAAGCAGAAAGGTCATTTCAAAACCAATTGTAATAATAATCCATGAAGAGAAATTGGTAGCTTGGATCAAGGGAAAGTTACTGAGAGATCCGAGACTAGTGGATGATTGGGTTTGTGCATATAAAATAGGCTACTAGAAATAAATACTTTTTACTTAGTTAGGAATTCATGAAGTAATGACAGAAGTGAGTACCGCCAGGTGCAGAATACTGGTTCGCAGCTGGTTACCAGAAATCTACTTGTTGACTCTGAGCGGTGAACCTGGTCAACCCACAATTCCTTCTTGCTAGCCTTGCCGAGAAGGATTTGCGGGATCTTTCAGAGTTTCATGGAACCACAACACAGTGATCAAGCTGATCAGTCCTGCCAGAACGCAGAGCAGAAGGGAGGCTAAGAGCGACCCTGAAGGAATGGAGGGGGACTCACTGATGATGCCCTGGGAGGGTTTGGTACCTTTCCACTCAGTGATGCCAAGGTGAGAAGCAGGGCTGGAAGTTAAGTGTACAGAGACTGAGTATTGTTGGACCCCAGCTTTTGATCACTTCAGGGAGGAGACTGAATTCCATCTTATCATACAATTTGAGGGACTCCACCCTAAAAGCCAGAGTTACTCTCCAAGAGTTTAATTTCAGTCTTACTGAATCACTGTGTACTGCCAGAATGAGTTTCTCCCAGAGACACTATTCCATGCCTGGGATGTGTTTGTTGTAGGTTGTTTTCCTTGTTAACACCGAGATGCCTAGTGGGCCGGCCTCCAGGCAGAGATGTTCAGTAGTGTGTAAGTCTAGAGTTCTGGGAAAGGTTGAATATAAAAGATGTCAATCTGAGAATGATGTATTCTATCTTTAATATAAATCTATAAGTTGGAAATTAAATGGTTAATTATTAGAGTAAAGTGTAATCTTGAAATATCACTGAAAGAAATAGATACAAAGTCTCAAACACAACATAGTTATAAGGTAACCAATTTGCTTTTTCTCCCTCACAAAAGGTGAAATTATGGTATAATTTTACATATAACTTCCTAGTATTTTATATGGGATAGGACACAGATATCACTGATTCAAGCATCTTTACCAAACTTGCAAATATTTTAAGACTAATAACTGGCAAAGATTTACAACATTTTTCACAGTTAATAGATATAAGAATCAACAAAATGTTGGCATTTTAGAATATTTGTAAAAATGAAACATTGATTTACTTTGCAATATTTCCAAGGAAACAAGTTTGGAAATACATCAGGTGCTGAAATTGTTTCTCTTACCTGGATGGAGGGTGCAGCCCATGAAGGACAGATCATCAATTGCAATATCTCCGGTGAAGCCGTCTCCCACTGAAGCCTCCACCAATATCTAAGGAAAACAAAAGCAAGTTGTTTGCCACTGTGCAGGAAATTAAGTTAAGGAACCTTATGGCTAAAAAGGAGATCACAATTTCTCCAGTAATAACCCTTTCCAGTCCTTGAGAAAACACTTTGCAATAGTCTCCAAAGTGACCATCCTACCTCCCCTTGAGTTTTTCCAATAATAGGAAATATTATTGGGTCCATTAGACACATGGAACTCATTCTGGTTTTTGATGACTGGTTACTTTTTGAAATTTCATTAATTCAGATTATATGAAATCCGAATAATTTTAAATTTCTAGGTGTGGTTTCTGCTCTTGCGAATTTTTGAGTATATGAAGGTGACTTACGGCTTCCCGTTCCCATTGTTGCCTTGATCTAACAGCAGTTTAACTATTTTCCAGGTTGAACTTCCTCATCCTTCTAGAAACCCAATTTGTTTCCAGAGTTACTTGTTAGATACATATTTTCAAGGGCTTTAAAATTTTTCTCACGCAGACCTTATTCAGTAACATTTTATGAAACTGGCTGATCTTTATCAAATATTCTTTGGAACCACATTAATTGCAGTGAACTCAAATGACATTTGTGCTGTTACTGGAGCTAAACCAAAACTTCAATAAAATAGAAAATACTAACAAACCACTATAGTATCTGGAAGATTTTGATTAGAGCAGATATTTACTAGAATGGAATTATTCATGATAAATTATTTTCACACATAGGCAAATGCAATGCATACTTTTCTGAGGAACACCATTTCCTTTCATTTCTGGTGTTGTTCCCAGAATGAATGAAATCATACTAAAACACAAATATTAAGCAGTGCATGCCAGACAGTATTGCCAAAATGGAAATTAGGGAAGCCAAATTTTATGCCTAAATGCTATTAGTACCTTACTGAATGCTTGAAGAGCAATTGAAAATCCAGTTTAGTCTAAATGACCTGCTTATATGTGGAGGCCAATTCTACTTACACTAGAACTATCACTAACTTGGACATTTTGTGACGTAACCAGCTCTTCAAAGTTCTTTTCATGGACAACTGAATGCTACAAATGAAGATAGCCCTGCTCAGTATATTGGAACTTTTAGGCTCAAACACAGATAAGGCTTTAACAAGTTGCCTCAGTTGATGTCCCTAAACATTTAGGAAGCTGAATTACTGACTAAAATTTAAAATGATATGGAAAATAGTATATCTCTAACACACATAACACTCATGTGTGCACATTTTAGGCTTTTATAATTCATAAAAAAGAAATTAAGTAAATCTGCCACTCAAATTCCATTTAGCAATTGTATGTCTCAAAAACATTATGAAATTCCAAAACATAAACTTGCAATATAATGCATCTTTGCAAAATTCAACAGAAAGAAATTCCTGTTTAAAATGTATAAAAGGCACATAATCTATGTGAAACACCTAAGATGCCAATGCATCATTTCAGTGATCTGAAATGGAGGAGCTGTTTCACAAACTGATTCAACAGTTTCTTATGAAGGGAAATGTAGAAGTCCATGCTTGTGGCACTGCTACATGTAAGAATTTGCTTACCCAAAAGAAATAAAGATAAATGTCTAAGAAAACTTTTTCAAAACATTTACATAAGGTTTATTTATAATCTCTCAAATAAGAAACTACCTCCCTACTCTTTTTTTTTTATTTTAAAGAGTAAACGAAGTATAACATAGTAATAGGGGAGCTTACTGAATTACAGACAAAGTGGTAGGAAATTATCAATGGTTGTTGTTTTACATATTGTTATCTACAAGATAGTTTCTCAGGAAAATAAATAGACAGATAATAGTGAGTTACAGACAAAAGTGGTAGGAGAGTATCAATGGTTGTTGTTCTATACTTTGGTATCTTCAAAGTAGTTTCTAAAGAAAAAAATAGAGCTGTACCTGAGTGACCAACTGAATATTCATTAACTATTCTCAATGGTTGTTGTAGGAAACACATAGTAATAAACACATCCATTTATAAAATAGCATAGGAACAACACAAACTTTACAGAATTATGGACAAATTAGTAAGAAAATATCAATGGCTGCTGTAATACATGGCGGTATCTTCAAAGTGGTTTCTCAAGAAGACACAAGAAAGACCTAACAAGTAGTTACAGCCTAAGGGTTGTGAAAGATAGGGTATTACCTCCTCACCAGTGACTCCATTCACTGAGGTGTGACGGCTGGAAGAAAGGCCAGGATTGAAAAGAAGGACCGAGAGACTTGCACCTGTGTCTAGCAACAGGCTGTTTTCTTTTTCCTCCATAGTCATGATTACCCAGGACTCCTCGATGGAGATGACGGTCTGGCCAGAAGGAGAAGGCAGACCATGACCCAAGCCCTCTCATTCCTGTTGGACTAACTGGTAGGATGGGTCTGAGCTCTGGGGCCTCCACTTCAGAGGGCAGACCAATCTCCAGTAGTCACCTTTGCATTCAGAGCATGGCCTAGTGGGCTTCTTAGGGTAGCTCCTATTGAGATGGCCTGACTTTTAACAGTGGTAGCAGATGAATGCAGTCATCGAATTCTTCTTACCTACCTATTCTTTAACTGGTGAGTAAACAAACCGTGTTATACTTCAAGAAAATATTGCTCAAAAAAAAAAAAAAAAAGGAACAGACTAAAGCTACAATAGCTGTGAATCTCAAAAGCATTATGTTAAGTAAAAGATGTAAGACTCAAAGGCTGCCTACTTAATCAATTAACTTGTAATACATTCTACAAAAGGGCAAAGAATAATTTTGTGTGTGTCATCAGCTAGGGACAGAGGACTGGGGAAGACTGACTGAATAAATGGGAGATTTGGAGGTAGAATGCTATTATGATTTAGATCTTAAATGTTCCCCATGAGCCATGCCATGTATTGCTATTCAGAAATGGTGAAACTTTGAAAAGATGGTGCCAAGTGGGAGGAAGTCAGGTCATCTGATGTGCCCTTGAAGGGGATATTGGGGCCTCAGACCCTTTCTAACTATCTCTTTGTTTCCTGAGCACCGGGAGGTTATACACTCCCTTTGTCATGTATGTTCACCACTGTAATGTACTGTGCTGCCCCAGGCCCAAAACAAGGAAACGGGCCAAGTAACCACGGACTGAAACGTCTGAGACTGCGAGCCAAAACAAACCCTTCTTCCTTTTAAATTGTTTAACTCAGGCGTTTCTGACAGTGACGAAAAGCTGACTAAGAGAGACGCAAATATTTTCTGACAAATCATATTTTTAACTCCATCTCTGAGCATATCATATACACAAAAACAGCACAAATTATTGGAGTTTTTCAGTTCTTATATCAGATATCAAAAAACATTTATCATTAAATATTTGTCTAAAACATCTCTATTCTTTGCAAGAAACTAAGCATAAACATGGATAGTAAAAGTACAGTTATGTTACTAGCAGAATTAAAGTGTTGGAATGCATAAAAGTATTGTATAAGGACTATGTATGACTGGTTAAAAGAAAGAAATGCTATGAGCTCTCCCTAATCTTCCTTAGTTCCTGTTGTGATATGGCAGTTTTGTTGCTCTTTTGGAATCACATTGTGTTTCTTCTTAGCTAATGTCTAGCTTTATAATATATGACTTGCTAAGAAGTTTTGATTAAAAAAAAACAAAAGAGGGGGCCTACTTAGGTACTGTGCCAACTGTTGCCATGGGAACCAAGAGGCAAAACATCATCCCTGTCCTGGAATATCTTACCACATAGGATAGAGTAGACCAAATAGTGATCAAAGGGCCAGACCCTACTCACCAGAGTTCATTTTAATCTAGACAGTGCTCACAAGTCAAATAGGTTGTAAGTATTCTTAAAGCAGGATATTTCATCAGAACGTATTGCTTCTCATTTGCTTCAGCCTCCAGAACTTCCTATTACACACCTAAGGTTACCATTTATTTTCAGTTGCCGTTTATTGTCTTCTACCTGACTTCTGTGGATTCGTGTCCCTTGCCTGTTTCTCACAAGGCATTTCAGTTTGCAGTCACATCAGCATGCTCACCCAGAATGTGAACAGGACCTGAAATTTCATCTCACTTGCAAGGTAACATGTTAGCTCACTGCTGATATACATATACTAGCGGAACACACCAAACCCTTGACTTAGAGACAAAAAAAGTAGCAGACAGAGAAGTATCTTCCATTTGTCCCTCCATGAGGGACAACACAGGGCAACATGATGAGGGCCAGGTGTTTACTGGTATGTGCAGTGGGTCACACACAGGAGAGGAACCCCGACACTAGGAGACACTACTTGGTACAAGTTGTCATAGGGTGAGGAAGAAGGACTAAAACATATGGAAGAAATAAGGTATTTAAAACCACAGATACGTGATGTACTTCTTTATTTACATAGCATTATTTCTGCTGTTCTTAAATGAAATAGAACAAAGCATAGCACAATGGGCAAAGGTGCACATACACTACCTTATTTTTATTCAAAAATGATAGTTAATTTTGATTTTAGCATTCTTCATTGTTTTAGATGTACCAAAGAGCCAAAATATAGATTTTTATGTAGTTGTTCTTTTCAGATATATAATTAAATATTATATATATCATACACTAATATTAATATTTGATATGTATTTATATAGTTGCCTCCAATCGATATGTAGCAGTGTTTTTCCAGAATTTACCTAGATGGGTTTTAAAAGGGATAGACATTGGTCAGTTTGAAATTAATTTGCTGCTGAAATTCTGCACACTCACATGCTACTCTAAAGCATTCACTAGGGACGCATATCATATAGCACTTCTCAACTTTCATCTCTTATTTGGAAAAATAATTCCTGGTTCCTCCAACCCTAAAAATTTATATAGAATCTATTTAGGAAATTTGAGAACTGCTAATCTAATCCAAATTCTAGGTTTAAAAAGATAAATTATATAAAGAAATATAATTTGCATGATAACTGATATATATATATATAAATGTCCTAGGAATGTAAATTATTTGACCTTATATCTCTGATAAGAGATAATATTTCATATCATTGC